GGTCATTCTCCCTAAGAGCTATCAGCCATCTAGAGCAAGCAGTCACCACTGTTTATCCCACAACAAGTAGGGCCCACACCCTTCTGATAAGGATAGTGGTTGTCTGTTTCCTTGTAGGAAACCCCAGAGAAGTCAAACCCGCCCAAGGATGACCAAGGTTAGGCCGTCATCATGAATCTAGGGCCCGCCCATCTTGTTACATGTATAACCCTAGACCTTCCCATTCCTATGGGCACACCCCTAGCTCATCCCCTTCCTGTCATGCTTATGCCTATCATACATCCCCTTCCCACGATGTGTATGCCTATGGTACTGCCCCTTCCTGTGATGTGTGGTTACGTGTAATCATGACCTCTTAATGAGATATAACCCTTGGTTAGCAATAAAGTGGGGGCTCTCCTGCTCTCGCTCCCGAGGCTCTCTCCTGCTCTCGTAGCCGGCTCCCCCAACGAGGACCACCAAGCGGGGCTGAGGTGAGCATGCTACCATGAAATGTGTCTGACTCCATTATTCCAATCTCTCCTCTACCCCTCATGCTCTCTATGACTTTAATCTTTACTTCTTATCACTGTACAATTGCGCCTACCGGACCTGTGATGATTTGTTGGGGACGCTCCGCACCCCACACTGATGCAGGCCCACTAAAGGGAGGTGGGGTGGGGCTCAGGCAGGTGGGTCTGAGGATCAGCCAGAGCTCTGGGGAGAGAAGTTGGAACTCCAACTGCAGACAGAGGTTGCAGTCGGTGGGGAGCTCCTGGGGGACTGTGCCCAGCATTGCTCAAGCCGCTCCTCCAGGTGTGCATGAGTCCGGGGTGACCCATTCAGGGAGGGGAGGTCCCGAGCTGGGCTACTGAACCCTGACAGGAGACGGGTCTGAACTGTGAGGGGTTTAGGTGCAAAACGCACGCCGGAATCCGAAGGCCAAGTCTCGAAGAAGAACGGTCTCTCCGCCGCACGCTAGTGATCACGTGTTGGTCAGTTACACACGTGTTCAAGATGAATTTCGTGTCTGTGGACGTTTCTAATGTGGCTACTAGGAAATCTATCATGGACACTGCGGCTCATGTTACAGACAACCCCGAGCTAGAGCAAGCTGGTGGGAGCGGCGCGGAGAGGGGGTCGGGGTTGCCTGTTGCGCGGCTCACGGCAAGACTCCTAAAACCCTGCACACGACCATGAGTCCAAGATGACTCGTAGTAACCCTACAGGACAGGGTAGAACTGCCCCTGTGGGTGTCTGAGACGGTCACTCTTCACAGGAGTGGAAGGAAAGCCTCATGTCTCTCCTGGGGAGAAATCCTGAGGTGGATTTGAACTGCTGACCTTGCTGTTCAGCATAGCCTCCAGAAAGGCTGCGTCTCCAGAGCCTATCTGAGATCAGAACAGCTGGCACGCGTCTCTGCAGTCTGCCTGATATCCAGCAGGGGGAACTCCGGGAGCACTCAGTCTGGTGGCTTGAGATTCAGCCCCAGAAACCAGCCCCTCTGGCCTGCTCCTAGCACCACTCCGTCCACTGTCCTCCCCGTGTCCACTAGCCAGGAGGCCCCTCTGACAACCAGCGATCCCCAGGCCCCTCCTCGTGCTCCATCTACTGGGGATCTGCTCTTATCCTGTGCTGGGATCCCCTCCTTTGAGGCCTGCCTGTGGGGCTCGGCTGTGGGGTGGTCCAGCTGTTCCCCACCGGGGACAACCTGAGCCTGGGACAGTCAATCTCACAGCTCCCTCAATTTCAGACCCAAGTCCTGCAGGAGGGGAGTCGGGGGTCAGCACCCCAGTGCCTCCGGAGATGCTCTCCCACATATTCTTAGGGCTCACCGTGGTAGGTAACACATCCCGGTCTAGTTGACAATGCTGAGCTTTAAGAGACTCAGGCGGAATCTCCAGGTTAGGAGGAGAGGTTAGCACACCTCTCTGCTGTACTTATCCGGGGCTAGAAGGCAGGGGCTAACCTACTCACGTTGGAGATGAGGGAACGGGGGCACAGAGAGGGCAAGTGACTGGCCTAATGACACCCAGGACAAAGGTCAGAAGTCTGGTCTGGTTCCCCATGCATTGCTGCTGCATGGTGGGGTCCCTGGGTCCACCCCTGCCTCTCCATGGAGCCCAGCCCACCTCTCGGCCAGTCCGCGCTTGGTGAGGCCTGAGATGATGATCGGGTCGAAAGGCTCCTCTGTGCC